TATATATATATATATATATGTCTATATATAACACAATAATATAATAATTACGAACTTACAATCTTTTATAAGAGTTTTCCTATGATAAGTTATCATTGATAACATATAAAAAAAAATTAGTAAGTTCGTATCAGTCTATAGCGTTCATTCAGTCAATTGAAACGTATATTAAAAAAAAAAAAAAAGAAAAAACAAATAAAAAGAAAATTAAATTAAAATCTCGACTAATAATTAAATAAGTAATGTAAAACTGATAAATATTTTCTATTATAAAATATTGATTTTAATAAATCAAATAAGTAATAAAAATTCCAAAAAGCTACCACACGAAATAATGCAAATCAAAAATTTGTTCAACTACTGAGAAGTACTAGTCTCTCTTCTCTCTCTCTCTCTCTCTCATTTATTTCTTATATTCTGTAATAATACCGATTAATAAATAATATCTGATTAAAATAAAAGTAAAAGAAAAATAATCAAAAATAATAAAAGTTTAGTTTGAAAAGCTTTCATTTATAAATATCCGATGAAATATTTGGAATTATTCTGAAAATATTACTTTGTTCTTTTTGTCTTTTTATATTCGCAGTTTTACACTTATGGGGCCCATTATAGAATAATATATTTATATATACACACACGTATATTAATACCACATATACGTAAACTTCTTAAAATAAGTATGTGTAGTATATTAATTATTATACGATCATATTTATGTAAACTAGCATAATAAAATGTTTAAAATGTAATACAAAAAAAGACATTTAAAACCTAAAGAGAAGAAGAAGAAAAAAAAGAAAGACAGAAAGAAAGACAAATAAGGAAATAAACTATTTGTTTTGTTTCTTGTTGATAGATTGTTTGCTAGCTTACTAAAGTGATCAAAAAATGAAAGTGAGATAGATACTCGATGATCATATTTTCTCGAGAACACTGTTAAGGCAAATAGTATAGTAACAATTCCGTGACGATAAAGTACAAAGATAATCCAATATGATATACATGCTTGTACACACATTATATATATATATGTATATGCATATTTAAAAAAGGCATCTGTATGGATGGGACGTCACAACTCGATCTAACAACCGGTTTTCTTCTGCTAAGTGCAGTTTAAGGCAACTCGTTTGTTCAAAAAAATAAGGATGTGATCCATACAACAGTATATATATATATTCTTATCAGTAGAAGTAAGTAAACTATTATAAGAGTTCGAGAATATATATGTGTATAATATGTAATATGATTCGACAGAGTATATAGGACGAAATGTTTACCCAAGTTAACTCGTAAAGAGATGATAATAGTAACACACGAAATTTACTATATAATATATAAATATATATATATATATATACCAAATCGAAAATGAGACATTTTTCTTCAAAGTTTACATCAAAAAATATTATTCGACAAATCGTCGTTCGGTTCGTGATGTCAGAGGTGATCATAGTTAAACATAATTAAGAAATAATAATAATAATACGTATGTGACGACGACGACGACTACGACGACTATATATATGTATATCATCAAAAAATATGATCTTTTTTCTCTCATATGCAAATGCAAACGAATATATCGAGTAAAATACCTTTGATTATATCCAAATTACCCTGTGGTTTGTTATGACCTAAAGAATCGCTCAAATTTGTACCATGACTGAGACAATCAATATCACCTCTAGTAAGCCAATCCAAATAATGATCTCTTTTTTCTACATCGGTTATTTCCGAAGAACGCACTACATCCGAACGACCAACGTTTTGTAAAGTTTGCAAATACAATCTACCAATTTGACTTATCGAATAGCCAATTTCCAAGCTATCCTTATTACCACTCAATGTTTCTTGGGTAGTAATACTTGCAACAGGATTTAATAATCTACTGCTTTGGGTTGGTTCGGTATTGGACGAATGATCCTCCATGTTAATGGAAATATGATTTCCATTGAATTCATCAATCTGAGTTGTATCGCCACCACCATCATCATCACCACCACCGCCACCATCACCACTTCCTCCTCCTCCTCCTCCTCCTCCTCCTCCTCCTCCTTCTCCTTCTTTTTCTTCTCCGTCTTTATTAAGAATGGCAAGAGAATCGGTTTGAAATAAATTAGTAGAATTTTCCGTGATGATGAACGTCTTGGTTTGAGAATTAAGGACGTTGTTATCATCACGCTTAGAGAAAAAACCGAGATTCGATTTAACGGGAGCACGATGAGTCAGGTTATTATATTGAGTAATGGTAGTAGTATTAGTATCCTCAAAAAAAGCTACGTCTTTCTGGTGTCGCTTTAAAAAATATTCACATTTTTCTTGATCAGTTTGTAATAATTCACTAATCGGTTCCTCCTGCTGTTTTAGGAGATCCTGGCACTTCTCGCGCTCCCTGGGTAAAAAATGCAAACTCCTACCGACTCTTTGAAAGAAATTCGGTCTCTTTCGTGTTTTATTAACCGACGAGGTAGACGATTTTTTCGATTTTTGCGACGAATCGAGACTCCTTTGTTTACCATGGAAAAATAACTTTGGACTTTCCTCCGGCAGAAGATCCAAACTTTTCACATCTACACCCGGCAAATCGACACTTCTTTCCAATGACTCGAGACTTCTATAAGTTTTTTCTTTATTATGAAAGGAAAAGTTTCTCCTTCTGCCGGAAGAAGTATCTTGTAACATTTCGCTGCTACTTTTTTTAAAAATTTCACCCTCTCTTTCTAAAAATTCAACGTTCTCCGAATCACGGCGTAATTCGTAAGCCATAGTTAAACGTTTAACACCAACGGCAGGTGCAGTAGTAGTACCCTTGCCTTTCTTATCTTCGTCCAATCCACCAAAGCAATTCATTGAACTACTAGATGCAGCACCACCACCACCACCACTACCAACACCACCTTCCTCTGTATTATGAACTCTACGATCTACGGAGATACAATTCCTCAGATCCTCAAACATCACGACCTGACGATCTACGTCTTTCTTAGTTTTATGCCCATGAAAAAAATAACTCTGTTTATCTACGTGAGTCGACGCACTGCTGGGGTTCCTCTCGCGCAGACTATTCACTGGCTGATAGTACTCGCGTAGAGTCGAATTAATGTCGCTTTGATTAGGACCAAGCTCGTGATGTCCCAGATTAAGGTTGGCAAAATCCAAAGATGCAATCTCCGGCGCTGCCCTACCCGGTGACGACTTAAATGTACTGAATTGACACGGATTAACAACACGTGATGCATCGTTACCGACGGCGGCGGCGGCGGCGGCCTGCGAATGGCCGACCACTAATTGACTCTTTCGTTCGGCAGTAACCTGTTGCTGGATCGAACAGAATTGTTGGTAGAATTGTATTTTACCTTGCAGATCGCTCTTGTCCTGATTGTCCTGGTCACCATGAGCATCCAACGCTTCGCGGCGCTTTTGCCGTATGATTCTCAGATTCGATGACGTTCCTCCTACCGTTGGACCCATCGTTGCGACATTCGACGCATTTGCCAAACACTGACGAGTGTACGGCCTGAAAAAACAACAATAAACGCGATCGAGAAAAATATCACACACGAACGAATTATATTCATACTTTATAACCGAGATATTAATCGTTGAAAATGATTTGACTAACCTTGATCTATGTTCCTGTTCATTATTAGTTCCAGATGGCAGCGCTGCATTTGTTGGTTGAGAGTGCATAGGTGCTTGTTGTACCGAAGGCAACGTTGGTTGTCTGGTATTTCCAAATTTCAACATATTCCAATCGAAGACATAATCGTACGTGAAGCCCTGACCATGGAATAGTTGTCGGAAGAGTTGTCGAAGATACGAATAATCAGGCCTTTCCTCAAATCTTAATCCTCGGCAGTACTTCAAATAGGATGCAAATTCGACTGTGAAATGAGAACAAAAATGTTGTATACGTGTGTATGAATGAAAAAACAATAAGAAAAATCATGAAAGATATATGAATAAAACATTTACTAGGATAACCCTTGCACAATTCTTCAATGGCAGTCGACATCTTTTTTTCCGAAATACGTTCGTACTTTTGTCTTTTTGTAGCTGCTTTTAAACCTTGCCATGGTAAACTACCTCTGTTGAAATACATAAGAACATATCCTAGAGATTCAAGATCGTCTCGCCGCGATTGTTCAATTCCCAAATGTGTGTTTATACTCGCATATCTGTTATCATAGAAGTAAACAACTTTTAATAATCATACAATGATAAATAGAGAATATATGTAGTGTTATATATAGAAATTTAGAACAAACCTGGCTGTTCCAGTTAAATTTTTGTTTTCTCGATAAGGTATATGTTTGTGTGTACGACCATCACGATACTTTTTTGCTAAACCAAAATCTATGATATATACGAGATTTCCTTTTTTTCCTAGACCCATCAAAAAATTATCTGGCTTGATATCTCGATGAATGAAGCTTCGACTGTGAATATAATCTGTTCTACTTATCTGATGGAAAACAAACAAAACAAAACAAAAAAAAAAGGAAGAAATCAGTTTATATGTTATTATTGTCATATATTAATTTATAAATACATATATATATATAATCGTCTTTATATTATATTTAATATTAAAAATTTTATTGAACTTTGTCCTTTAGGAGGAATAAAGAGATGGTAAATCAACCATTCTGTTGAAAAAAAAAAAAAAAAAAAAACAGAAAAAAAGAAAAGAAAAGATGAAACTTATCTGTCTCTCTCGAGAGAGGTTTATCTCTCAAGAGAGCAAAGACCTCTGTGTTTAATAGAATAGCTATTTGTATTGTGTAATCAAAATATTAACAGAAGTCTTGTATCACAAGAGAAATAAATATTACATTTAATTAATTAATTAATTAATTAGAAGAATAAATAATATGTATAAAGTATAATTTAGAAATATTGAGAGAAATCATTGTTACAATTAGTAAGAATAATAAGTTCATTGATTTGTAATCAAAGATATTTGAATTAAAATGATATTGAAGAACATTTGTCATTAAAAAAAAATGATAACTTACCAATTGATCAGCAAGAAGTAACACAGTCTTCAAAGTAAATCGTCGGGAACAAAAATTAAATAAATCCTCCAACGATGGTCCAAGTAATTCCATAACCATTACATTATAGTCACCTTCTGAGCCACACCATTTTATCGTAGGTATACCAACTAGAAATATCATAATGTCATGTCTATAAACATTGCACATTTAACAAAGTAAAAATATATTTAATGATAGTATAAAACCTATTAGAAAAGATTTGAAAAGTAGCATTTCTAATCGTTACAAGATTATGAAAGAACATTATATTATTATTATACGATTATCGTTAAACGTTTTAAGAGATAACTATTAGATATATAACGCATGAAAAACTCATTAAAATCCAATAAATATTAAGAATATACATTTATACGATGTTAAAGAATAATACAAGTAACATTATTATCGAAGCAATGTAGGTTTTATAAAGTTGACACAGACACACATACACACAAAGAAAATGGAATGAGTAAAGGAAAGGAAAGGAAAGGAAGGGAAAGGAAAGGAAAGGAAAGGAAAAGAGTATACTGAGTAGAGGGGAGAGTAGGTTCACTGGCCAGAACGACCAGCTGTCCAACGCAAAGTCCTGACAGCTCTAACATCGTACACATCTTCATAAAATCATTTCACCATAATATGTAATAGAAACGACTAAGGGGAAAAAAAAAAAGAAAAAAAAGAAAAAAAAACTCTGACTCACCTCCTCCTTGCATCATTTTATAGAATTTAGATTCTATATGAAGTTGGGGATGCCGTGTTTTGATGCATTCCAGTTTGATGGCGACTTCTTCGCCAGTTGAAATGTTGGTACCTAAGAATGAAAAAGGCAAAAGCATGTTCATACGGGAGGTCTAGCATGTTTCTATGTATATGTACATGTACATGTTGTGTTATAAGTGCGCGCGCGCGCGCGCAGTCACGAACGCATATTCGTAGGAAAAACGTGCGTAGAGAGGGTGGAACGTCTGGTAAAGGCGACAGAGGTCGAGGGGAAAGGGTGTTGATGGAGGAAGGTGGGTGCACTGCCGAGGGCGGCGACAGAGGAAGAAGAGAACGAGGAAAAGAAGGAGAAAGGGAGAAGGAGGAGGAGGAGGAGGAGGTGGGGTAAAAGAAGGCAAGCGAGAGGCTGAGGGAGTAGAAAGGAGAGGAGAGGAGAGGGAAGGAAAGAGAAAGAAAGAAAGAAAGAAAGAAAGAGTGAGTTAGAGATAGCAAGAAGGAGAGCGGGTGGTACGAGGAGAAGGGGGAGAAGGTGGAGGAGGAAGAAGGGGGAGTGGATTCAGAGTGCGAAGAGAAAGGAGCGGGGAGAGAGCGAGCAGCGATGATACACGTTTGAAAGAAAAGCAAGGGAAAACAACTTCTCTGTAACTTACCCAGATAAATATCCCCGAAGGAGCCGCTCCCGATTTTCCGTCCTAACCGGTACTTATTTCCAACGCGGAGCTCCATTCTCCAGCTTGACGAGGCTCAACAAAAATGAAACTACGAAGAGATAGAAGACGTAGAGACGTCTTAGAGTGAAAAGATGATAATGATGATGATGATGATGATAATAATAAAGTAAGGAAAGGAAGTTGAACAGTACGATGAAGAAATAAGTAGAGTAGTATAGTGATAGTGTTGGTAGTAATAACAGCAACAGCAGCAGCAGCAGCAGCAGCAGCAGCAATAGCAGTAAGCAGCAGCAACAGCAACAGACTCGATAGTTGACCGCGACGGTACACGTGCGCGCACGACGGATGGTTATGCAGACACAGAGAGGAAAGGTCCACAAACGCGTTTAGAGGGCCGGCCGAGCCTCCATATTTGATCGTACCGCCGCTCACGGACCTACGAACATTTCCTCTCGTTCTTTCTCTTCGAGTAGTAGAACAGCCAACTGCTTCACGATGCTGATGGCGACCGTACTGGTGGCGTTGCTGTCGCTCCTATCGTCGTTCTCCTCCTTGTTCTCGTCTTCGTCCTCCTCCACTTCCTTGTTCTCGAACTTGATGTCGTATTTCTACCAATGATGCCAGCCGTTCTATTTATTCCGTATAAGAATAAAGAGAAACTATTATTAATTCTATTTCCTGTTCTTCTTGTTATTTCGATTCTTCTTTTTGTTATTCTTGCTTTGGTTCTTGCCGTTGCCGCCGCCGCCGTCGTCGTCGTTTTCGTCTTCGACGTCGTTATTGGTGTTTTCAACGACGTCGACGTCTTCGTCGTCGTCGTCGTCGTCGTTCTTCTTCTTTTGATTGTTGTTCTTTTTCTTCTATTTATTATTTTTGCTAGGTTTCTTGTCGACGATGCCGTAATGATTAAATCCGTATCTATTATTGCTGCTTCTGCTGCACTTATGTTTGTTGTCGTAGTTGGTTTGACAATTCTTGGGAAAATTGAACGAAGGGGAGAAGAACGACGGCGTCGACGATGGAGAGAGAAAAATTGCCCCCCACGGGGGGGCGGTCGACAGTTCGTCGTGAAATATGGGAAACGCGAGGAACGTTTAAACGCGAAGGACGATTTAACCGTGCCGGATCTTGCGAAATTAGGCGATCCGGACGTGCAAGAACGAAACCACCAACGATACGATGTACCGCGTAAGGGCATCTGCCCTTCCGCGGAAACGACCTGCTTTGCCGAACGAATGGCGCACACGGTTTATGGCGCCGTCGAGACGTGCCCACCAGGATCGCGTGTTATGCGACTATTATAACCAACACTTCGTCCCACTCTCCCTAACTCTATCTCTATTTCTATCTTTATCTCTTTCTCTTTCTTCCTTTCTTTCTTTCTCTTTATCTCGTTCGTCGTTTGTTAGCTCACTCTCCCCCTCTCGCTCTCTCTTACTGTATAGCACTGTTTTTTTTATAGGGGCCCCTTCTGCGTTTCTTTCTTTCTTGGCCCCGTTCTTTCTATTTTTGTTTTATTTTTTTTTCACTCTACTCTGAAATTATTTTCGATCGATGATTCAGGCGAATTACAACGCGACTCCTCTTTCATGACTATTCCTATGTACCGTTCTTCCGTCAAACACGACGACACCGCTTTTCACCCGATCGACCGTATAGCGGCGCGTTTTTCGCTTCGTTAGATACAGCGCAGGACAGCAACGTTATTGTCCGACAATTACCTACAGTAGACGCAAGCGCCAAAGGGTGGATCGACACGCCTCTGTTATATGCTGCCACCTACCGACTCATATCAGAACAATAAACTCCGTTCGAACACCTTAATTGGTTCTTTTAAAACCCGCCAAGTTTCAATTTCATTTATATACTTTTGAATACATATGTTTATTTTAATTAATATTTAAGTACAAAATTTGACATTTTGTATAAAGAAAACTTCGTTATATTCATATATTTTAATAATAAGTATTTAATATATAATAATAAAATATTACAAAGAGCTATTATTGATAAATAGGAATTTGAAGGGCAGTGTTGTTGTATCTCTTTCATTTTTTTTTAATTAATATGCAACAATTATATTATAACAAAAAAATAGAAAATTGATTCGAATAATTTATTTTAAAGTGCGGATTCATTAGTATTGTTTTTATCTGCTTTATTAAAATAAATCGTCATACTATACAATAAGCTAGAAGATAAATTGTATGTGATACTTTATGTATAATAGCTAAATTGGAGGAGTTTAGTATCACGTTTGTATATATGCGTGTATGTGGATTTTAATAAGTGAGCTTTATATGAAAATTTAAAACTTTTTTAATTAGTATATATGTGTCTGTGTGTATGTGTATGTATATGTATGTGTATGGTAATAATGTAACTACAAAATTTATCTACAAAGGCCCTGTGCAATTAATGTTACACGTAATAAACTGTACATTTGTCTATGGACGTATGTTTTTAAGTTAATACATTGGTATATATAATTAGATCAGGCATGTAAATTTGTATATTTCGTTAGTCAAACGTTTTGGGGCCAAAATCACGTAGATTAACATAATGTTGCTGCCATTCCTCGAGTCCTTAAACGTTTTATGCAAAATGCATAAAATGTAATACGCTCGCAGTACAAATGTTATTTCTAATTTGTTTTATTTCCATTTATCTTAATAAATCTTAAATTAATTCTAAACAATTCTTCAAATATTTGTAATCTAATAAAAGTGGCAAATAAAAATAAATCGTCTTATACAATGACTTATTATATATTAAAAGATATAATGTATTAAAAAAAAATATATATATATATATATTAAAAAGCAAAAGTATACATGTAATGAAACATTATAATATATACTTGTATATAAAATAATATATAAAGTTCTATTATTATTATCTTGTTAAACGAAGAGCGTTGTTATCAATAAATCGCAAATATAATATAATATAAAATACGCCCAGTTAAATAAAAATGATCACTGGTTTTCCTAATGACAATTATTAAATGCAAAGATAAAAAGATTATATATATATATATATAATTATTCTTTTTCAGTAATAATAATCTATTCAAAGCGTTCCTGCAATTTTTTTCTCAAATCTCTTTCAAGTGTCTTTTCCAAACAAAAACAAAAAGCGCATACACCATTGTAAAACAATAGAGAATAATTTTTCTTACAAAAAAATTCCTATCGATTTAAATGAGATCAAATAAAATTTTGATATCCTTGTAAAAAAAATTTATACGATTTCAAAGTTACTTCATAAAATTGATGATATGTAAAAATGAATTATTATTATTATTATTATTCTTTCTCCAAAAATAATTCTAAAATTGATTTTATTTAATCAAATAGTTTGGAAAGGAGACTTCTCTACTAACACGTTTACACACACACACAAAAAAAGGGGACGATTTTAACAGTAACTTTCACGATAAAATAGAAAGAAGACTTTGTGATTGTAAGAGTAAGTAACATTTGATAAAAAATATATTTTCAACACGCTTCATTGCTTGCGTCATGGCAATTGGTATGTATGTATGTATGTATGTGTCGTTTTATAATATTATTTTTATCTTATTAATTTTATTTTATTTTACTTTTTTTTTTTTATTATTTTATTTTATTTTATATTTTTTTATATATATATTTTTTTTTGTTTTTGTTATAATCTCTAAAGCTTGTTCGTGAAAAAACGTCCGTAATTATACTTAAGTATCTATATTTGTCGTTATGTTCAGAACACGTCAAAATCATATATATATATATATAAATGTGTATGTGAATTATTTATTAATTTATGAAACATTCTGATTGTTCCGGAACATTTCAAATATTGCAGTCAATTTAAGTCTCGTTCTGTATCATGTGAAATACAAATACTGGGGGAGCTTCAAGAAACAGTGATTGTATTTTAAGATCCATTGTGTATTATTGTATATATATATATATATATATATATATATATATATATATATATATTTTTGTTGTCTTCTTTCTTATATTTTGAATATTACTTGCTTTTTTTTCTCTCTCTCTCTCTCTCTTTCTCTCTTTCAATACTGTTTCTTATAGTTTAATTATTTATATAAACTTATATTTCGTGTTATAATATGGCTGCCATACTCACAATTTACCAAGTGCCGCTATTGTCTGTACAGCAATAAGTATTAAACTATGATTATATCGAATTAAGTCAAAAAAAAAAAAATAAAAATACGATCATAAAAAAAAAAAAAAAAAAACAATTATTTCATTAAAATTGTATCATCTATGTATAATACGTATTATATAGTAATCAAAAAAATGACTGACTTATTTTTTAGATACGTTTATAATATCTAATGAATCTGCACAGTTTCATCATTCGCAAGATTTTATCTAATATAAAATAGTATTTAAAAAGAAAAAAAAGAAAAAGCTTAAGTGTCTCTTTCCTTTTTAAAAGATGAAATTAGCAGTGAATAAATGTGATTGAATTCGATTAAAAATGTAATATTATCTAGGCCTATAGTTTCACCAAACTGCTAAGTAAATTTGTCAAGACCATGTAAAAGATAAAAGATAAAATGATGTGCATAATATTCATAAAAATTCAAAGGTGTTTTATAAATATTAAGATCTTCATGTTCTTGGCAGTTGTATAACTTAAGCAGTTTTTTTTTTTTTTTTTTTTTTACATATGTTCTCTCTTCAATAGTATTATTATGGTCACTCGTAATTAACATTAATGCTGCATATTAAATTGTAATTTAAAAAATCTACTAAACCTTTTGTTTTTTTTTCTCTCTCTGTTTTCTTTTTTATACAATTAAAACCGATGTGATTATTATAGAAGTTCATGATGTCACTTCCATTTTAAGGCCTGCCAAACGATTATTGAGTTCTTCCGATGATGGTGCATTTCTGAAAATTGAATTGTTACTGCCAAAAGAATGGTCAGTACACGTCAAATATTCATTAATTAGCTTAGCATAACTACAAGATACTGCAGGATCAAATAATATACTCATGCAATATATATACATATATATATATATACTTCATAGGAGATTCTAAGCAATAAAAGCGATACAAGCACATTTGACGTTTTTTCTATAATCCATGTTGATAAATAATGAATATTCGACTCACAGTAAATGATCCTTAACACTGTCAATGGTGATATCTCCAACTGAACTTAAATCCTGTCGTTCATCTTCCCCATTCACCTCAGTGATACTTGCGGAAGGCTGCAGGGAAGGTTCCTTTGGAGATTCTTCACCACCTAAAAGATACGTGTTCAACAATCGAAGCTGATAATCTACTGCGCAGATTAATATTTCCATTAAATGAGCAATACTTTATAGCAGTACTTACTGGGATTGCTAATTTATTGGATTTACCAATAGCAACTAACTCCTAAATACATACATACATACATACATACACACATGTATATATGTATATATTTTAGTAGGACGTAAAAAAAGAAAAAAAGATTACTTGGGTTTTACAAAAATCAAACCTGAATCATTTATTTATTGGATAACTCTATTCATAATACTACCCAAGTTCTCCTTCTTATTTCTGTTCCTAATATGCATTATTCCTAAATACTTAAAAATACTGCTTACAATTTCCAAATGTTCTCTACGATATGTATATATATATATATTATAAAAGTCCTATTTTTTTGTTTCATATAAAGATCACATCAAGTAAAAATTATTTGGCACATTAAAAAATGCTGTTTTCTATATATAGAAAATCCTTAATTCTTTTTTTTTTTTTTTTCAATTATAATTACTACGCGATTTACTTGAAATATATACGTATACGTATATATGTTTATATATATACATACATATATAATTTTGCACAAAGTACATGTAATATGTAAATTGCTCACATATTTGTAATTTATGTATGATGAAAAAAAACTGTTCTATACTAACTGGAACCTACAACACCATTCTCAGCTGCATCTTCGTTAACAGCTTGTTCTTCTGCACTAGTTTCTGCAGATACTCTAGCACTAGGTGGTAAATTAAGTGTACAATGGGCTTTTGTTACTTTTGTCGCTGATAATGAGATGCGTTGAAGTTCGGAACTCGAATGAAGATATAATGCTTCTCCAGACTTTGTGAATGTTAGGGATGAGATACCACTAGAAAAAAAAAAGAATCAATTACTTTAGTTTAAACTTGAAAAAAAACTTACACACGAATTAAACAAAAATAATAAATTATCATTGAAATGAAAGAAAATATTCGAACTTACTTAATGTCTTCTCGTTTAATAGCAGCTGCATTAAGTTGTCTTCTTAATTCTGGGATACTGAGTATTAAACAATCTCCAAGATTCGTCAAACAAAGTAAGCATGTTTCCATATGCTCTGCCGTAGAATCGATTGGACATGTAAACTTAGCAAAGCCTGTTTTACGTACCCTGGATCCTTCATGAGCAGTAAGTTTATATTTGCAATTAGGTTTTAATGACGGTAGATTGAAAATTTTAAATTGTTCTTCGCTTGCAATTAATACTCTATGTGGTGATGCCATATCTGGTCCAGGTGAAACACCTTTCTCTGCTTCAAAAGGTTCTGGTAAAGGTATATTCGAACCATCTAATATAGTTATAGCAATGACTGGTGCACGATGCTTCAACTGAATTTCTTTTCCAAGTGTACAATTTACGTCTTCTTCTGTTCTCCTAACACCAGCAGGTATTGCTAAAGTAAAAACATATACTGTCCCGTTGTTAGTACCTGCCCAAAGCGTTGGAGTTGTGTTTTGCACTAAAATCAATTAAATATATAAACGTATATATATATAACAATCAATTATTTTGTTTTGCTTAAGTTTGATAAATATTGAACTTACTGCTTATGATATAACTTCTTGCAAAATATAAGCATCGTACCATAGACCCTAACGCATCATCTACTGGTCTAGCTTCGACTTGCCTTTCTACCGGTTTTAATTCCATGGGTGATAAATCAGCACTTGGTGAAGATGCTACGCTAGAGCTTCTCGAAGAAAAATGAAAATTAAATTTAATAATAATTTATTGTAGAAGAAGAGAACAATATAATTAATAGGTTAAATAAAAAAAAAAAAAAAGAAGATAAAACAAACATTTCTTTCTTTTTCTCTATGACGGCACTTCTTGTTGGACTACTAGTAGTTGTCCGTCTTTGTGATCTTCCTTTTCTTAACCTTCTGAAAGATTCCCTTAAAGATTTCTTAAATGATTTTCGCCTAGAAATTGGTGTGTCTCCTGCACCAGAAAGATCTATGAAAAATTTGAATTAATCAATACTATTGTTTCTGATTTAATTAAAAAAAATCAATTGAATAACAAATAAAATAAATACCATTTGGATTAAGTGTGCATTTAACAGTAACAGGCTTTACCCTTGTGTAGTCAAAAACTGCTAAACCATGAGCTGTACCCGTAGCAAGTAAACCCCATTCACTGTGCATTGCTAATGCAGTAACAGCAGCTGGTGGATATAACTGTAGAATGCTTTGAGGTTGAAAACCAATTGCAAAGGATATACTGGCAGTCCTTACGGGTAAATGATCGTAACCTTTCCATACAAATCCATCGCGATCATTAACAATATTCATAGTAACTGCTTTGATTTCTTTATTAACTGGTTCAGAAGATATTACAGCAGTAACTACATGGCCAGCTGTTCCTGCTATTACTAATGTTGAAGATAACGGACATAAAAGAACTTTTTTAACTGCTAGACGTGGGTCATCAGAATATGGATCAAACGTGCCCACTTTACGAAATGGTGGCCATTCATCTTCGTCATCTTCTGGTGGCTGTTCAAGCACGTCTAAGTGCTCTCCGGTAAAAAGAATCGATGAATTATATTTATATAAAGGTGTTAACGAGACATCCGATGCATTCCAAAATCTCACTGTACCATCTTCGTGACCGGTTAGTAACAATTCTCTGTTTTCAATTTTATCAGGATTTTCCGGTTTGTTACATAAAATGGTTCCCCCGTCTATAGGCCATTCTTTATCCGAGTATAAGTGTTCTGTCTGTGCTTTACCAGCAGACACTATTGAATCCCAAAGTTCTTCAGGGACATTTGGAACATGTTGAGAACAAGTTACCTGTCATATTGTATTTATATATAAAAGATTGTTAAAAATATATACGTTACAACATTTTTCATTTTCCTGCCTGCAATATTATTTATAGACAAAATATTTACCGCGCTAGCATGTAAAGATACCAAATAAGGTAAAGCCATCATTTTCCATTGTGGATTTGTTAAATCAATAGCTACAATTTCTTCTTCGGCTAATACGATCAAAGCTTCAGGATTGTCTGGTATATCTTTGCCATCTTCGTCTCTGGCAAATACGGTGAAGAAGTCAATAACTTTCGAAGTAAAATCAAATACGACGTGTTTGTCTTTCGTCATAACAGTGATGGTGTGACGATCACCATAACTTGCACGTTGCATACCACCAGAAAAGAGCACCAATTCTCCATGCCTGTTAAAAATGATATTTTTATTTAAATCTCTCGTATTATAACTAACTTTCAACTTAATAATAATAATATGATGTATAAATAAATAACTTACTCGGCAGTTGGATAAACAAGAATTTTCGTGATAGCTTTACAAGGAAAAGGGCCATACGGTGTCGTCGGATCTGGTACTGCATCGCTACCTGGACTCCAGAATGTATAGGATCCATCGTTGTGAGATGAGACAAACCGACTCTCAGAAATAAAATGCACTGATTCCAGCTGTTGCGTGGATACGAATGTCTGCGTACGCGAAAACAAACCCATCAGCTGCACGTACACGTTCGCCAGAACCACCAAAGACACAAACAACAGTCAGGAACCGAGCAATAGTAGCTCGCAAACCATTCTTTATAAGCATTTTCCCAATAAATATTAACCAATTAAGCAACCTCATCTAATAACCACCACTAATGACATATATACCCAATGCATTCTTCCCAATATAATATATTATACACTAAATACATACTCTCTCATATACACAAGATTTATCAAAAAAAAAAAAAAAAAAAAAAACAAAATATCGAGCAGTTTTACCTGTTGTGCTCCTGGAGTAGCTTTATTCCAAAGTACCATCAAACCTCGATTATATCCAATAAGAATGTTGTCTGGATGACCTGGTTGTTCTGCTATAGCTTCAACTGCTCCTGGATTTTTCTTATAATCGTCGGGTACACTGTTTTAAATATACACAAAATATTGTTTAAAATGTTGTAAAGGTTCTACATCATTTATAGATAATAATTATAAGCAACTCACTTTTGCATTACTACATCTTGATAAATGATGTTATCGGGTACTGCAAACGTTTTCAAATTCAGAAGATAAATGTTACCACCTTCTACTCCTAAAAGTAGATGTTCTCCGCTTGATTCCAAACACATTGCTGAAATTTTCTTCAATTTTCCTTCCAATGATAATGATTTTGTCTCCACAACCGAATTTTCATTGATTTCCCATAAATGTAAGGAATTATCATCGCAGAGAGAAACAATGCGACCCTAATTCGTCAAATATACATATACATATATTTTTATATAATATTTGTAGAAAAAAAAAGAAAATAAATAAAAGTAGGAAAAGAAAAATAAGAAGAAATAATAATCGATTGAATCAAACAAAGATATAGAAAAAAACACAATAAATTATAGTAAATCATTAGATCAAAATCGTAGAGTGTTACATTATCTTATCAGACTTAAGATTCTTTTAAAAAAAATTATCAAGATAACGGTGTGTAAGTATTCCGTGCCTTGTTACTGTACAAACACCGTAAGAACATGATTCGATCGATCTTAAAAACAAGAAATAAATTTAACACGGCTTCGTCGTTCTATGAAACCTAAATAAATACGCCTATCCTTACAAGTTATCTTGTGTTTTAAGATATTTCAACGAAAAACATTAGAGAATACGAAGAAATATACAAAATATAGAAGAACACGTTCTGAAGAATTTATACAAAAGAAAAAAAAAGTCAAACTTTCACTGTGTTGTATTTTGTGAACAAAATAACAACATTTAACTTTCTACGATACGATAAAACATAAGAAAGTCTATAAATAATTGTTGTTCCTTTTTTTTTTTAAAAACTCAATCAAGGAGTTATACTTTTCCTTATTTTTGTTCTTCTCTTTCTTTTTTTTTAATAATTTATCATTATCCACCATTCTCTTATTCCGACTTATCGTACACAACGGAGTTCTAAAAATAAAGTTTACATACAAAGAGAAGCTTTTTGCAATTAACTTACGAATATACGTTGTGAAGAAGAAGAAGAAGAAGAAGAAGTATTATGTTACGAAATGAAACACACGTGTGAATGTGCATAAACGAATATATATACGGTGGTATATTACCTGTGAATATTATGCAATTTACAAACTGACGCCCTATATACAAAGATATCTTGTTACATATTAGTACAAACTTTTGTCAACGACTTTTGAAACGTTTTCGATGAAATATCTGAATAATCATATATATGTCAATCTTTTATGCATACATTGCAAATATTCAATCAAAAAAGAAAAAGAAAAGAAAATAAATAAATAAATCAATCAATAAAATGTAACCTCATTAATTTTCTTACCTCATTTGGTATGGCGACAATTTTTGTAACTGCATTTTCACCACTTTCACTGGAATGTTGACCATAAAATTCAACACCGGGTCTTCCAAATCTGTTTTCAATTACGATTCAAGGATTTTATATATATATATAATTAATATTATATAATTATTGAAAGTGTTTCAATGACTTCCAAGAAATTAAATTCATTCAAAGCGGAAACCATACAGTTTCTACAGGAAGAGGTGGGCTTAGATATTAAAGATTTATATAAAAATATTAATAATATTATATTATATATTAATACTATATTAAATATATATATTTAATGCTTAAGATTAAAATTTTGACTGAGTGAGAAAGTTTAGATATTTAAAAGTGTAGATATAAATATCAAAGTATACATTTGAATAACTTTTTGTGCAATAACATTTGATGTCATGTTACCCCCTCTTTCCTTTCCTTGAAAAAAATTCTGTCCTTGATGTGAATCATCATTGTGTTTTCTAATGATTCTTAGTAAATAAGATAATGTCTACTTTTTACTAGAGTTAAAAAAAAAAAAAAAGAATTAAAATAAAATAAAACAAAAATAAATAAAATAAATATAAAAGAAAGGAAAAGTAAGGTAGGGAATATGTAGACGACCGGGGGGGGGGAACAAAAGGAAATGCAAATGAAACAAAAGGATACACTTTGATGGCGCCGGATGTCGTTCCAATGATCATCAGTCGTAAACTCGGATCCCATGCAAAAGCTGTTGGTTTGTTTGGAAAGCCATGTTGCACTGTCTGTAAAAATATATTGAAAGAAAAATCAATAATTATTATTATTATTATTATTATTATTATTAATTGGCATTAGGAACTCGATAGTTCATTGCCACAAATACCAAATTTCGCCATTAATAATTATTATAAATTAATCAAAATTAACAATATCATTTACTTTATGTTATAATAATATTATTACATATAAATATTATATAATTAATATACATTTGTTCTTATACTTCTTGTGTCTAATTAAAAATGTATCATCAAATTATTATTATGAAGAATAATATTACAAATTTCTTCTATATTTTTTGTTTGAAAATAAGAAGAATAGAACGACCTAATTCGTAAAGTCTCATTCTACGTGTGTGTGTATGGTAATATGTACTTAAAACACTTGTAAACTTGCATGTGCACATATCATAAGCATGTAATTTAGCTGTCCTTCTATTTTTCTTTCTCTTCATGAACGTGCATCGTGCAATAGAATTAGACAGAGAAAGAAAATAAAAGAAAGGAAGGAAGAAAGAGGATGGAAAGAAGAGGAAGGAAGGCAGGCAGGAAGGAAGGAAGGAAGATAGAATTAAAACTTGATAAGGTTTCGTGCCAACGTAGTACAACGTACTCTCGACGTGATTTTTTATTATCTGATGTTGTGATACGTTTGAACCACTATTAAACAAAAAAAACAAAAAAATATTATTTCCTCGCGAATAAACCACGAAGATCATCATCCTGACTTTAACGTTGTCCTACCAGAGGATCACGTCTTCTAGACTTTCGATATCGATTACATCCGGAAAGGATATCGACCTGTTGATTCAGTTTACATTTTCTCGAAGCATATTATCTCACATTACAATTATTGAACGTTGTTGATTTTTGATATACTCTCTCTCTCTCTTGTACAAAGTGTATTATTACTTTTATATAATTATTTAATTAAAACTTATTGAAAAAAAAAAGAAAAGAAAACAAGAAAAAACTTGTGAAGATATTTATATCGAAGGTAACGGAAAAGGGGATCTTCTTATCGTGATTGCAAGTTATGCAACTAAATATAAGAAACGATATATCGTTATGAATCATGTTTGTTCTCTCAAGTACCGGCACAATTTTTGATTTTATGATAAAAAAAAAAAAGAAAAAAAAAAAAAAGAAAAAATCTTTTTCTATATCTATCTGTAAAAATTCTATGTAATATGACAATTTGATTGTTATGTGAATCATATTAATAGAAAAAACACAGATGTGTGTAGATTACACATACACGGTAGAAGTGAAACTAATTAATTATTTTTGTTTCATCGGTTTCACGTTCATTCCGTTTCACGATTTTCAAATCACCTTGATTCTAAAGAAATTTTCACTTCAAAAAAAAAAAAAAAAAACGACATATAAACGTTTCCTATTTAATTTTGAATTGAATAACAATATCGGAATAATTGATGATTAAAATCGGAATAAATCGTAGAATTTATCGGACACCATTTTCGTAATTTCATTTAGAGATACAAACATACATACATACATAATCAAAGAAATGATGACATTTATTAGACATTATCTGTCAACAAAAATACATTACTTACCCGACATAAAAGTTAACGAACGATATAAAAAGTTTGATTAAATATCCAGTCGAGAAGTTTCCTAGAATTGCAATATCTCTTAACGAAAAAGATATACGTGGAAAATGTTCTTTTATCTTGTTCACGATCTAAACGCGATTATCCTAACCTCCTCCCCTTCTCGATATTGTTTGCATAGTCTCATCGTACTCTCGCTAATCGAAAATGATTGTGCAGAGTTTCTTTGAAAAGTACTTCGATCTCTTTTGTAGACAGAAAAAAAAAAAAGAAAAAACCTTTCCATACACTTGCAATGATAACGAAGCAAAAAAAAACGTCGAAGGAGAAACAACGAAAGATGATATCGTGATCTAACATTTCGAAAGATGATCGATCTGTGTTCCCCCTCGTTTTTTTTTATTTATTTATTTTGTAATTTTCTTTCTTTTTATTTTTCCTCTTTTTTTTTTTTTTAAAGACTGTCGACAAAAAAAAAACAAATATTTGTTCGACCGACAAAAATTCGTATCGATTTATAAATATAACATTTCGATTATACACTAGATATACCAGAGCAGCCATTTTAATTGAAAATTTCTACTTCATGTAACATTTGAGTTCTGTAAATAATTTCAAAATGTCTATTAATCCATTTAACTATTAAAATTATTATTGTTAAACATTTTTTGTTATTTTTTTAAGAGTAAATAAAGACTGGAAGCTTCAAAAAGCATTTTTATATATACCAGTCATTTTGACTAGTGTGGTAAAAATAGGTATATTAAAAATGGTGATATATCTAGTGTTAAATTACTTATATATATATATATATATATATATAATAAATATTAGCTTTGTGAATACTTTTTATTTGTTTTAATCGATACTCGAACTTTTCGATAAATCTAATAAGTAATAAAATATTTGTTGAAAAAATTGAAGAATAATTTAAAAAAAAAATATGAAAAGAAAAAAAAATCTGAACGAAGGAACGATGGAACGAATGAACTGACATACGAATAAATGTACCAATGAAACGAAGCCTTGATCGTTTGACACGACGTCCCAATTGGTCAAGTACGCGAGTACTTTAATCCAAATCAATCAACCGTTGTTGTTGCGTATCATAATCGCGTCTCTTTCTCTCCTGAAACAACTTTACCGATATATAACGTTCATTATGGTCAAACGACAAAGCAACTCGTATAACAATAAAAGTTTAAATCGACAAACATTGGTATGCATGAAATGACGTAATGGGGGTTTTTTTTTTCATTGATTTGGAACTGATAAAAATGTCATTCGATTTTCATTGCTTTTCCCTCAATAATATTAAAAATGTATTATTCTTTTCAAATTTTTTTCATATTTTTTCTTCATTTTATTTTTATTTCTAAATTTAATACAAATATATATATATATAATGTATAATTATTTTATTTATGATTGTAATATATGATAATTATATTACTGGTATTAAAAGTATACTTGAAGTATGCATAATATATAAGTATGTTATTTATATTAAAACTTTTTAATTTATGCTTATATATTAATAATAATTATATTAGTATAAGTAATATTAACAATATATAACAAAGTTCTTTTAATTGTTTTATAGGAAGAATATTTATTGTACATGAAAAAAAAGAAAGTATGTATATATATATATATATAACGTGATACACATTAATCAATGATACACTGTTGGAAAGAGAACTGTGCTAGATAATTTAAAGGATAGTGAAAGTAAAGACAAAGACTACAATAGGATACACATCGCTTTAACAACGAAGGCACGTTTTTTTTTTTTTACATGTACGTGTAAATAACTATGATGTCTCTGACGCTCGAAATTAGCCATCGATCAACGTTAGTGACTCGTTTACCGTTAAATTACGGTGCTTCTCGAACATATGAATAGATTTCGTACCTGTCCAATCTATCTACTACATCCGCCATATTATAATCCGCTATATGTTAATAACAATTTGAAATCAACTGATGTGAAATGATTTATGCATTACTTATTGAAGATATACATATACAGGACTGTAATAACATTGAGAATGCAAAGTGTGCACCAAACTATGGTAACCTTGAAAAATGACCCTTCTTCTTATATATATGTATAATAACAATGTATGTTATTTTTTTCTGACAATCCGGTGCATCGAGAAATATAAGATACAGTAGAAAAGGAAAGGGATAAACAGAAAGAAAGAGAAAGAGAAAGAGAAAGAGAAAGAGAGAGAGAGAGAGAGAGAGAGAGAGAGAGAGAGAGAGNAGAGAGAGAGAGAGAGAGAGAGAGAGAGAGAGAGAGAGAGAGTACGTTTACTTGATAAAATGTAGATATGCACACGTGCTTTTTTATAGCAAACGTAAGTAAGTACGTAAGACATATGACAGCGGGCATCGTATTTCAATCTTGAAAGATTCGGTAAAGTAAAAAACGTGTTCCTCACGGTTCGATGATTTTCTCGGCCTTTCAACAACATTTCTTCTATCATATTTTGTTTTTCTACATATATAATATATAAATATACATGAACTTTAGAGTGATTATAAAAAAAACAAGTGGTATAAGTCAATAATAATTAGCAATCAATTTATTGCATTATTTGTATAATAAATGTAATATAAATTCCGGAATATAAATACATTTTGAATTTGTTTGTTTGTTTTGTTTTTTTTTTTTAATTTTTGACTAAGAACACTCATGCATGTTTATGTATATGTTATTTTATATATAAAAACGAAATACCGATGTCTATTACCTTGAACAATTGTTTCCTCTCGACCAAGAAGCGATATATACTATGTATAGATACATATATACATATATATATAGATAAAATGAAAAAAAAATAAAAATGATGATAAAAATACACATCACTCGTGGTTTCCTCGTAATGCGATCCTCCTCGTTGAAGATTCAAATGGTAAAGAGACTTTCCTATTCTTTGTAAAGTTATAAAAGGAAAATACTACTTCCAAAAAAAGTCAAGTAAAGTAAAGTAAAGAAAAGAATAATTGCGAGAAAGTTTACTTCTACTTTTATTATCTGATTTTACGTTTACTCTCTCTCTCTCTCTCTCTCTGTCTCGTGAGACATTTGTAAAACATTGGTAAACCTATTTATTTGTTTTTCTTTCATTTTTGCTAATACATTTTTGCGATAACGAATATCACTGAAAAAAAGATTCATAGTTTTGTTGACACTGTCCTATCAAAACTAAGAAATCTCGTGTATCTAAAGAAATATGTAAATAAGCATTTATATATGCACACATATATTTGAATAAACGTTAGAAAAGTGGAAATTTTTTTTTATCGAAATAGACATTAGAAATTCATTATGGAAAAAGGAAATTTTTGATCCTATTGAGAATTTCGAATTAACGAAAAGAAATATATTCGGAAAATCGTTTGCATTCACAACGTGTGTATGTGTAAGCCGGCAAGAAGTGTGTGTTTAGTTAACCTGTATGTTTTGCATTTTTGTATATGATTGTCCAGTAAGTTTTTATCAATTGAAAAATAACTAATATTTCAAAACAACATATATAATTTCTGTATATATTTAAATCGGCAAAAAAAACTCTCTGGACAACTCAATAAATGTAAATCTGTATGAATACAGGTAAATTCGATGACTACCTATAATAAACCTATAGTACAACGCTACTACACTAATACTCACTTTTCGAAAGGCAAAGAGATCTTTCTGAAGTTTCTGCCGTTCGGCGGTGGGTTGTTGGCCCTTTCCTCTTATAAACTTGAGCATCCTCGTTGCCTTCGTTCACGACGATGATAACACGAGCGGCAACGTGTAAGTGCCGATGAGAACTCGCACACAAATACACTAAAAGTATACACTACATACAAACATACACACAACCAATAATATCAACCATACACTCGGCACGCGTATACAAATAAAACGTGGTAATGCAAGGAGGTCGATGTAAACTCTTCCTTTCGAATATATTTACAACAGGAGAGAACGGTACGAATTTGTATTCGCCGTTGTCGTCACTACCGTCGTCACCGACGTTGTTGTCGTTCTCGTTCTCGTTCTCGTCGTCGTCGTCGTTGCCGTAATCGTCTCGTTACTGGAAAAAAGGGCAGATACGCGCGCGCACACACACTAGAACACGACGCACAGACAAACGGGGACATACACGTTAAACCGTAGTTACAAGAGCGCGAGCAGACGGAATGTAATTAAAACATTCTTGAATGAACGGTAAATATCGCACGACGTACCGTAATAACGTGTACCTATCGTCGTCGCAAGGTGTGTTGACCGCACACGTTCGATGCGCCCGCAACACGTCAGTTCCTTGTATATTCTTTTCGCTTTTCGAAACCCCCTCTACTTTCTACTAAATCTCCCTCCTTCTCTCTTTCTTTCTCTCTCTCTCTTTCTCTTTCTCTATCTATGTACCTATCTACCTATCTCTTTTCTTTCACTCACTGAAATCCACCGCACTGGAGCAATGTGTCAGCCGCTTCGCTTTTTTATGAAATCTTCGACATGAGAATTTACGATCGTTAAGGTGAAATGTCCAATTTTAAACGCCGTTAAATCCTTCGTATTTCCATGTAATTCGTAAGCTCTGAGAATGCGTAAAAGCATCGATATCCGAAGGGACGAAGGCGTAAGCTCTTGTCACTCTACATCCGTCTCTCGCGTTCTTCGCGTCTTTCGCCCGTTAACTCCTTCTCTTGACCAATCACATTGCTCGGTTTCTTTCGGAATGCCTCGCCGTGATTCGCTAACCCTCGATCATCTTCGACTTCTCGTCGTTCTTTAAGTTCGTGCAACTTCGGCTTCTTTACAACCCGCGCGAACCAACCGAACAATGACCTCCTATCACTCTTACCAACTTTTTAAAATTGCATTCTATTTTACGCGGTATTATACCATCCTGTTTGAATTATTTTTACTTCTTATCAAATATTCTTTTATTTTTCTTCCTCTTCTGTCATCTATCTTTTATTTTTCTTCTAATATTTTTTATACATTTTTTTTTATTTCCAATTATCTACTTTATTTTAATGTTTCTTTCAGTTTTTAAATTTAAAATATTGCAAAGTAAAATATTTTATTTTAAACAAAAGAACAATTGTATTAAATAAAAATGTTAAAAAACTTATTGCTGATATTATTAACAAAACGAAATACACTAATTAGATTAAATGATATACGAATGATTTGTCAAAATTTCATGAATGATTTAGAAATTTGCCCTGTTATTTATGTTATATAGATATGTGTTTTACTTTCATAATACGCTGAAAGTGCTTTTTCCTTTGGTATTTCTGTTCATCGATTAGTATGATAATATCAATGAAATACACTCACATACTGAATCAAAACGTATTACCTACTTGTGAGTAATTATGACTCAACTATAACCTTAATTTTATAGAATGAGTCATAAATATTAATTCAATCTAACGACATCATATTTTTAATATACTTTTGAGATATCAAGTATATTTTAATAATATATGTATATATATCCTTTTATATATTGATATTACCTGTCAATTAAATTTTGATTTCTTTTTGTTTGACATCATCGTTAAACATATATATCGTAAGGAACTACAGAAGTTTGTAAGTAATGTACAAATCAAAATTGCGATTATTCTAATTGGCTGCATGTAATTTATATATATATATATATATACTATTTTTTAACGAATAATATATTATTCGTTATAAAAATGTATATTTTTTTTCGTATAAATTATAAATGCTATTATGACGAAATTATAGATCAGATAAGATTATCTTGTCTCCTTTTTGATATTTGACAGTTAGTAGGCATTTTGTAACAGATGGTTGTAAAAAATAATATTTGGTTTTTTATTTTGCTTAAAAATTGTACTTTCAAATAGATTATACATATATATATATATGGAATGATAATTTTGTATTTTCTAAAAAAAAAAAACTATTTATATTTATAATTTTTTTTTTATTAAAATGATCATATTTGTCAAACAAACAGGTATTTTGTTAAATCAAAAAGAAACAATATCGCTTATAAAATAAACATTTGAATATGTACAAGAAATTTTGTTTATAGCTTTATTTTTCCTTATCCTGTTTGGAATTATATGTGTATCCTCTGAAGAGATGTCTACCCAGAAGGAAGAAAATACTTTGCAAAAAGTAGCAAACTCATGTTGCTTTTTTTCTAGTAATTTTTACAAGGTATCATTTTTTAATTAATTATAATCGAGACATGGTTTATGAATGATTTATATTTTAGATACTCTCAAATGAATTTGATGGCAATGTTATTACTTCGCCATTTAGTTTACATACTATACTGTCTCTACTTCATCATGGATCAAAAGGAGTAACATCTAACGAATTAGAAACTGTTCTTTATCAAAATGGTGCTGATGTTCCTCACGATGAAATAAAATCTTTAATTTCTACATTAAATGTGAGATTATATAAAATATTATAATATTATTGTACACATATATATATATATATATATATATATATATATATATATATATCTTTATACTAATGTTAAATATTATTATCAGGATATAAAGGATGTAGAATTACAAATAGCCAATGCTATATATATACAAGATGGTTTTGAAATAATTAATGAATTTACTACAGTGAGCACAGATGTTTTCAATTGTGACTTATCTGTAATAAATTTCAAAAATAAATTACAAGCATTTAATGAAATTAATTCATGGGTCAAGAAAGCAACAAGAGATAAGATTTCTAATATTCTTTCCATGGGTAAAAATAACAATATAACAATTTGTATATTGATATTTTAATTAGATTGAATTATCACTTATATATCTTTTTTATATAGACGATATTGACGATTATACGAGAGCAGTTCTAATAAATGCAGTTTATTTCAAAGGTTATTGGCTGCATAAGTTTGATGATAAATTAACTAAACAAATATTTTTTCACGCAACTAAAACAGATAAAAAGTTAGTACCAATGATGTACAAACAAACCAAATATGTTTATGGAGAAATTCCACGTTTAGATGCACGTTTCATTGAAATACCATATTTAGTAAGTTTTAATAATTACAAACTGAAAAGTAATTATAAAGTTATAATATAAAATTTGATCAATTAAAATTTTCGCAGAATAAAGATATTACAATGATAATATTATTACCTAATGATATTGAAGGGCTTCAATCTCTGGAACAAAATTTTAAATGGGAAGATATTTCTGAAGCATCAAGTAATGAAATAGATATTGCATTAACTCTTCCACGCTTTAAATATGAAGTTACAATTAATCTGGAAAATATTTTACGCAAGGTAAAATTAATAACATAGCATTTTATTTTTTTTTTTTTTTCAGAAATTAATAATTTGTTCAAAAATAGACGCTTATATTGTATATAAGTTTTTTTTTTATACTAATTGATAATGTATCAAATTATTTTAGTTGGGCTTAAATTCCATGTTTGAAGATAATGCAGATTTTGGTAAACTTACAAACGAGCCTGTAAAAATAAGTAAAATATTACAAAAAGCTTTCATTGAAGTTAACGAGGAAGGTTCAGAAGCCGCTGCAGCTACAGGTCAATGTTTTTTTTTTTAATATATCTTCCATTTGTATATATAAATCTTCATTATTATATTAAATTTTATATTTTTTTTTTACAGTCGGTATAGTCAGACTTAGAAGAGCATTGATAGATTTTCCAGAAGAGTTTTTAGTCAATCGTCCATTTTTATTTATTATTAATCACAAACCAAGTAAAATACCAATATTCTTGGGTAGTGTTAAAGATATCTACATTCCAATGGAAAAAGATGAACTATAAAATAGTTATATTATTTACATCATAGGTATTTATGGTATTTGCTTATAAAATATTTTTCATAAAATATAGAATATATATTTGCTATTTTAATAATTCCTTCTTGTATAAAGATAATTAAGTTAATTTGTATTGTATATCGCACATTTTATGTAGAATTAACAAATATTCTGTACTTATATATATATATCCAAACTAATTGTAAGTATATAATAAATAATAATTTAACAATATACATTGTACCATAGCTTAAATAAATAATTTGCATTTCTTTGAATTCAAAACTTTTTTTTTCACATATTTTATACTCTTAAATAAAAATATATTTCATGTAAAAATATATATATATATATATATATATGTTTAATCAAACATAATCTTTTAATTATATTTATAATAAGTACGTATTTTTCTGTACAGAAATTGATTTGTTCTATTCTCCTTTTCCTACTATTATATAAATTTGTGTTAATAGATCATGTTAGTATATTTCTAATTACATAATTGACATCCATTTTCATAATATTGCAATATTTCGTATAGTTAGAGTAAACTGATCAATGGTTATTATACATCAATATGTAAATAAGAAGCAATAAATGCTCTTAAGATTCTATTAATGTTCTCCGTAGTTGTCATATCTATATTACTGCGATTATCATCTGGTTTATGCCAGAAACTTGGAAATGGATATGGTATTAAATGCAATATCGGAATATCTGAAAGAACATTAAAAATTTAACAATAGTTAATAAGAAAATGTTAAAACAAAAGTAAACAAATAAATCCATTATACTTTTTCTCAAAAAAGGAATGTGATCATCTTCTATATGCGCTGGTATAGAATATGGTTGAAAGTATTTCTGTTGTTTTTTTTCATAGGAATAATTATCAAATTTTCTTAAATTAGCTAACGTACTCTCAAGATTAATAAGTAACGAATACCATCTTTGAGTATCTTCGAAATAACTATAAAATGTTGGATCAGATGCTCCTATTAAATCTAAAAGTACTAATATATCCTGAAATAAGAAAGAGAATAAATTAATATTATAAATTTATCTCGATGTACAATTAATTGTTATTTAATAATATATATATATATATATTTACCATTCTATCAAGTTCAGAAATATTAATATCTTGCATAAATGTAGTACGTTCAATATTCCATTTTTCAGCTAAATGTCTTGCTCCATAAATGGAATCATCAGGACCCCAAGTATTAAATGCTTCTTCTCCATCAAAGAAAATAAACATTAAACTCACATCTTGCTAAAAATAATAATATGTTGAAGATAACAAAAATATATATTTACAAAACAATTATTTTATAGAAAAAGAAAATAAGTAAACATACATTTTTAATAGATTTTAGTTGTTTATCCATGACAGTAGCAATATTTATCATTTGTGCACATGGTACTGCACTATCTGTTGCACCAACAAAATTTCCTTCCCTGGTATACTTTGAATCAAAATGACAAGCTAAAGATAAAAACCTTTTAGCATTTGGATTTAATTTAGCGATTATATTCTCAAACTGTAGTTTTCCAAACGTAGGTGTCATATCCTCAAAAATATCTGATTCTACTGTCCAATTAAGATTGCTCATAGTCTTTTTGATATACTGTAAAAATATAACATAATTTAATATATAATTTTATATAAAATGTGTTTAAACATTGTCATTCTTACGTTTTTCACTTGTTGATGTTGGTGACTTCCTACAACTCTGACAACACAGATGTTATCTAACACATGTTCCATGTTTGTCACATTTGACATATCAGCAAGTTTAATAATTTGTTCATTTGTTAAAGATATTGGTTCATGATAATACTGTAATTGTTAGAAAATAATAATTAATTATATTTATATAAATATATATATATAACATTTTATTAAATAATATATGTGTATATAAGACTGAGAAAAAAAGATTGAATTAGTTAATTATAAGGAAAATAAAAAACATTTCAAATATATTACATACCTTTTCACTGTAAAATGGTACATTTTTTGAAATAATCTTCTGAGGTATACATGGTACAATAATTAATAAAATTACACACAAAGCTAAGTTAAACATATTAAAAAATAATTAATTATAAAATATAATTTAAATTGAATATAAAAGAAATATGCCACATATCAACTACTGTCATTGAAGAATGAAACAGACATTGTTGACCTATACACATAAGAAATGATCTGATTGGTCCATTTTATAATACAGTTGAAAATCAGATCAATGTAAATAAATATTTAATGAAATAATAACTTTTATTTTTATCTATTATTTCATTAAATATCTATTTATTATTAATTCATTTTGTAAAAATCTTTTAACAAGCAAATTTATTTTTATTTAGATTTCTAAAAAAATATGTATTATTTTATTGGTCGGAATAATGGCGCGTAAATTTAAAAAAAGAAAAAGAAGTAATAAACATAAGAATACTTTGGACGCTTATTTTAGAACATTTATATAAGTATATAATAATTTATTATTAATTATTCTTGAGTATAAATAATAATGATAAATTTTTTTATTAGAAAGAAATATCAACTTTTATATTTACAATTGTTTAACATATAAAAAATTAAATTATACGATCATAACAAATATATTGTTTTTCGTATTGGTTATATAAATCGAATAATCGTTTCTGGTCGTAACAAAATCGAGCTATCGATTGTAAAAATGTAAAATATCAATATGGCAGCTGCGATCTGATTGGTTAGACAGTATTGGAGGCGTGCTGGACTCGAGGGAAGGGGTACAAATGTTCCACGATCCTGGCTTCACTGAGTTCGACATCGTAATAAGACTATGAAGGAGTAGCGTGTGTTTTGTGAATACCTGCATGCGTATTGTAATCTTAATTTAGACGAAATGTCTTACATTAATGTCATTATTGATTAAATTTGTTAAATTATATAAAGTTTTGTTAAATACAAAGCCAAAGAAACAAGGCAATGGATTCAATTGCAATAACGTACAAAACGGAGATTATAGCTTGAGAAAAGATAGTTAAGTGGAAATCATTCACAATTCCCTCCGACGAACGGAGGTACGCCTATGAAAAGTTATCATTCATCATAAAAAAAAAAAACCTTCCAATTTTATCATTATTCTTTTTTTAATTTTATATTATAGATATATTTTGTGTTTATTAGAAAAATACATTCGAGTTATCAATTTCAATATAATCATTTATATATATCATATATGATTTTTCTCAATTACATGTTATATTACATCCTCATCATTATGTTATTAATATAATAAAATTATAGAATTTTTTAATTTTTAAATATTCTTATATGTGTTTTTGTAGTTTTAACCTCATCTATACATGTTATTATTATTATGCTATGTCCTTTTTTTTTGTTCATATTTATATTCATTTATTTGATTCTATGTTTGCATTATATATCATTTTGTTATTCTTTAATATTACAGAAACTGAAGAAATGATGAGTTCAATAAACTACAATATTATATGTTAAGAAGAAATCAATTTGACACATCTGTTAATTGTATAAAAATCATCAAGAAAATGAACAGATCAGATAGTGGAGCTGATGCAGGAAGTGGTTGGCGTGAATGTGCCAAATGGTTAACAAGATGTGGAGCTTTACGAGCTGATCATAAAGCAAATTGGCCAAATGCAACACCATTCGATCTTGCATATACATTAAGAGATGGAGTATTACTTTGTAATTTATTAAATACTGTAGATTCAGGATGCATAGATATGAAAGATGTGAATCAAAAGCCACAAATGGCTCAATTTTTATGTTTACGAAATATCAAAGTATTTCTCTCAGCATGTACATCCATTTTCGGATTATCAACTTCCGACCTCTTTGAACCTTCTATGTTATTTGATTTATCCAATTTTCAGCGTGTACTTTGTACACTTTCTGCTTTATCAAATTGTCATCGTTTAAGACAGAAGGGTATTCCGTAAGTATCTTTTCATTTGTCTATTTCTTATTTCTAAATATAATCATTTTATTTTAATATATAATATGTATTTTATTTTATTATAGAGGTTTCTCAGTAGGTCGCAGTCGATCTCAAGAAGATATTTATAAGGATTTGCAAAGTGCTGGTGTGGGGTAAGTGTCAGAATACTATAAACTTTATTACATATATACATATATAATTGTAAAACTTTGTATACTCTATTAAAATAATCAAAGTAATAGTAGTCGTTATAAGAAATAAAATTCTTAAAAATTGGTGCAAATCTTTTGGCATTATTTAGCTAAGTAGATTTGTAGTAATTTTGTTAATGAATTTAGCCCCACGGCAGGAGTGGTGGCGTTTACCATAAAGCCTAGGCCTACTATGGACCTAGGTGATTCTGAAGTATATCAGGAATTGCTCTGTTTTTCAACTCCCCCTCAACACGACTGGCCTTCTACAGAGAAGGTATATGTCGTTTTGTATCCTGAGAATTTAATTTTTGTCGTTTAAGAAAAGTTCCAGTTATCACAATTATTTATTAATCTATATTTGAAATTAAGATAGCTAACAAAAATTATATAATACAATTTACTCTGTACATTATTGTTATTTTTATAAAGTGATGATACTGGTACTATTTCATAACACTTATCCAACTTGATATATTATGGCCATGAATGTTTTTAGTTGATGTTTAATCTTTGGTAGTAATGTTATCATATCCTCCTCCTACCCCCCACCCCTCTTCATAGCTTAAGAGTATTCACAAAATGAAGCTATTTTATGATGCATCATAGATAGTGCATGGCTATTTATATTTCTGTATAAAAGGCGCGAAGATGAAGGTCGTCGCAAAAGGTTTAGAAGGAGAGAGGGAGATGAAGCAGGTGGAGGAGGAGATAATGATGACTCTGTAGGAGAAGAGGATGGTTATGCAGCTTATTGCAGTCATGCTCAAAGTGAAGAAATCTATCAGGACCTTTGTAGTTTACACCTGCCACCTCCTCCATCTGTTGCTCAGGTTATTATTTTGTTATGCTTTTTTTTATTTTTATGAGTAGTTTTATACAAAAAATGTATAATTCATTATATCCTTTCCTTGGTAGATAATTCAAAAATATTTCTAAATATGTAAATAGAAATATTATTTGAAACTACTCCATTCATTATTAGAATTAACGATAATGGCTATTTGATTTATCACAACGAAAGCCAAACGAATTAACTACACTTTGTTTTTTATTATCTAATAATAAATGATAATAATAATAATTCAGATTATTTGATAAATTTTCTTATACTTGTTTGTTTTGTGTAGTTAATCAATTTGGCAAATGAGTGACACACACATTTATATATTTTTATAATCACTTATATTTGTATATAATTAATGTATATTATTCTTTACAATTTAATATAATAATCGTAAAGCAGGGTGGTGCAATATCAGGAGGAGAAAAGAGAGACTATGTTATTCAAGAACTCGTTGAAACTGAAAGAAATTATTCGGATGTTCTCAACAGTTTATTAAAACATTTTGCGAGACCACTCTCCTCATTATTAAGACCTGAAGATTCAGCAAGAATATTTTTTGGTATAAAAGAATTATCTGAAATTCATGCAGGCTTTCATAGTCAACTTCGTAAAGCAAGAAATGGAGCTGCCTTAGCTCAAGTTTTTCTTGATTGGCGAGAAAAGTTTCTTATTTATGGAGATTATTGTGCTAATCTTACACTTGCACAAAATACTTTACAAGAAGCATGTGCAAGAAACGAAATTTTTAATCAAGCGGTTATAGTAAGTTACCGTTTTTATTTTATTCATTTATTTTATATATTTATATTACTTTATTAATTATATATATATATATATTTTATTATAGAGATGCCAGCAAGATTCTAATAATGGTAAATTTAAGCTACGTGATATACTTTCTGTACCAATGCAAAGGGTGCTAAAATATCATTTGCTACTTGATAAGTTAGTTGAAGAAACTCCTAGAGACTGGCACGAAGATAGACGTCAATTAAGTGAAGCACGAGAAGTTATGGTAGATGTAGCACAATATATAAATGAAGTTAAGCGTGATTCTGACACATTAGATATTATAAAAGATATAGAAGCATCGATAATTGATTTGGATGTACCTGAAGATGCACAATTAAAAGATTATGGACGTTTGTTACGAGATGGAGAACTTAAGGTATATATTATAATATAAATGTTTTATCTACTATCATATTATAATTAAGAATAATTATATAATGAAAAATTCTTTTAGGTGAAAGCTCATGGAGATCAAAGAATAAAAGCACGTTATGCATTTGTTTTTGAACAAATCATTCTAATTTGTAAAGCAGGAAGAGGTGATCAATATTGTTATAGAGACTTTTTACGTTTAGATGATTACAGATTAGAAGATCATACGGGTAGAAGAACTCTTGGTCGAGATTCACGTTGGTCTTATCAGTGGTTACTTGTGCATAAACAAGCTTATACTGCATACACTTTATATGCGAGAACTGAAGAACAAAAACAAATGTGGATTAAAGCATTACAGGATGCGATGGATAATGTCAATCCTGCTGCATGTCGTAGTACGAATCATAAATTTAAACTTACAACATTTGATACTGCACGTAGTTGCCAACGCTGTGGTAGATTCCTTAAAGGCTGTATATTTCAGGTAGTAATATATTTCGTTTGTCTATAAAATATATTACTTCTATATTATTATTATTATTATATTTTGTTATCTTAACACTCGTGCTTTTTTTTTATATATAGGGTTACAGATGTGAAGTGTGTCACCTAGCTGTACATAAACAATGCATTGCACATTCAGGACGTTGTATGCCAATACCACCACCACCTCCACCATCACCACCCTTGCCTTGTGAAAGAACACTTTTTGCTAAACTTTGGTTTGTTGGAGAAATGGGACGAGATACGGCATATAATAAACTTGAACCTCGTGAGAATGGTACATATATGCTAAGAATAAGACCACCTGGCCAACCTCGACTACAGCATGAAACTAATTATGCATTAAGTATTAAGTAAGCTTCGTATTTTGATTTTATCTTTTATTATGTGCATATAAAATTGTGGATATCATAATATTTATTTTATTTTTTAGGGCCGATGGTGTAATAAAACATATTAAAATATTTAAACGTGATGTTCATGGTGCAGATGTGGATCTCTATTATCTCAGTGAATCTAGATTTTTTAAGAGTGTGGTCGAACTTGTAGAATATTATGAACGCGCCTCATTAGCAGAGAATTTTGAAAATCTTGATCAACGATTGTTATGGCCATTTCGTCGAGTATTAGCCAAAGCATTGTTCGATTTTCATGGTAGTGAACGTAATCAATTGAGTCTACGACGTGGATGCAGAGTTGTTGTCTTAAGTAAAGAAGGTGATGCCAAAGGATGGTGGAAAGGAAAGATAGGTGATCAAGTTGGATTTTTTCCTAAAGAATATGTTGAAGAAGAATAACAGAAATGCGATAATAATAATAATAATAATAATAATAATAATAATAATAATAATAATAATAATAATAATGATAATGATAATGATTCTTATTTTTTTTGTTGTCGCAATTAATCTTATCGTGCAATCATAAATTGAATGAAATATATATTTTGAAGAGATAGATAAAAAAAGAATAAAAAAAAAAATAAGAAAATAAAATAAAAAAAAAAAAAGAAGAAAAGAACAAAGTATAAAAGTATCAAATAAAATATTATATACCATGACATTAACATCGTGCATAGGCACCTTGTATAAAGTAATATTTTCGAACTTATTGGATAATCATTTTCTTTAATATTTGGCTTTGATCTTGGGTTTTTACAATCAAACGATCAATTTAGTTTACATATGGAGAGATTTATTACACACACACGTATGTACATAGGGAGTGATATATTCTAATGTATTCATTTTTTTTTTTAGGAATACTTTTCTCCTTTTTTTTAGATTATAACACGTAACTGTTTGCGGTTTTCGTGTAATTTACAGAGATCAACAGGAGGAAAGAGATTTAGATATATATATATATATATATATATAATAGTAAAATTATTAATAACTTCTTTTTAACTGTTCTTTTATTCTCTTACTAATAATAGTCATTTGAATGCTTTTATTTGCTTATTTATTTATTTCTTTTTTTTTGTTTATATTTTATTTCTCTCTGTTATTTTATTGATCTTTAAATCTAATTTAAAATTATTGTTCCTTGTATTGATATTTTGGATTTGATCTATCTTTTCTTATCCTCCTGTCGACCTAACCGTCCTACTCATAATACCTGTATGCTATTTTTTTTTTTTTTTTAAAGCTTTCCAAGATCCATCACAATAATATCTGTAAAATAATTTGTCAATGGCCATATATCTTTTATATTTAATCATTTTATCACAGTTTTACTTGTGAACAAAAGTAAAATGTTTAAAGCAAATTTCTGCTTTTTACTATTCTATTGTAAAAAAAAAAAAAAAAAAATGAAAACAGACATTCCAATTTTTAATTTCTCATACAAAGAGAGGCATTATATAATTGCAGTATAAATATTTAACGAAATATATGTATATATATATATCAATAGATTATAATTTGATTTAGAACAGAAAGATTCAAAAAGAAAGGATAATAAATTACTCTATCACAATAAAATATTAGTAAATATACAGTATAGATAGATAATAGGTGTAAAAGAATTTTGTGGTGCCTTAGTGAATTTTTACATCTGCAATCCATGAAATTATTGTCAAGGGAGAAATATAACTAAATAGTCACTGATTGAAACATTTTATCTATGTATGTATGCATATATACTATTGCATAGCTTCATGTTTAGTTAATAATCTTATCAATTATATCAAATTTGATAAAATATCTATTATAATTATTAATTTAATCTCTTCGTAGAATTCTCTTTTAGTAATATTAGAAAAAAGAACACACACAAAAGAAAAACAAAAAAAAAGAAATACAGAAAAAAAGGAGAGAAGTTGGTAATTCTTGAAATTAAACGTTCATGAAATGAGATATTTCAATGAAAAATAATTGAATTTGATGAACATTTATATATAAATATATATATATATATTTTGTTTTTGTTTATCAAGATAATTTTTCTTTAACACATTATCTTTCTTTTTAAGGCTCTAATTGTCAATTATTAAATTGTACATATTGTGTTCCCATACAGCTCTAATATAAAGCTTTTAAACTACATGTGTATTTTGATATACATATGCAGTATAATATTTAAAACATATATTTTAATTGTAGGAAAGAAATTAGCTGTGTAATAATATTTTTTTAATGATTAGACAAATTCTCAAATCGTGCCAATAAGAATATATATAATCAATAAAGTTTACATTTTATTGAGTTGTTATATAAAAACAAATTCTTTTTTTTACATATCTTTTTATTATCCTTACCATCTATATATATATATACACATCAAATGAAGTATTTTTATTAATCTTATATTAATATATATTTTACATATTATATATATTATATATTAAAAATGATCAAGATTTTCTTATGGTCTTACCATATGGTTGTAACTTTTACAAGTACATCAGTATATCAAAATTTCAAATAAAACTCATACTAATATTTAAAAATTGAAAATTTATATTATGATATCATTAATTAAATAAGATTAAATTTTATCTAAAGAACTGTATAAATATATAATAAGTTAGACTGCTGTGTGATATTACATGTACATTATATATATATATATGTTGATTGTCATATCGTATGATGACGTCATACATTGATATTAAAAGTTATCATCAAATTAGATCAATGTGCTAGATAATTTAAAAATAATTTTAAATATATATTTATAATAGATAAGTGAAGAGTAAAAGTATTTTTTTTTTCTGTGTATATATATAAAATTGTATAAATTAATGATGAAGGTGTATTTATTGAGAGGTTATTTCAAAAAAAAAAGAAAAGAAATGTCGGATAAAAAGATATTTTGTCTTGAACACTTGTATCATTAACAAGTAGTATAAGAATATTGTATGTGCATTTGCAATGACGTTTAATATATATATATATCATCAAAATGTCATTTGTAATAAAGTTTCATAAAATATCAATGACATTTGCAATGACATTAAATTGCAATATAAACTTGTTAATGATCATTTACTTAGTTTAACTATAATTTTAACATGTTATCACTTCAATAGTACATTTATCATTCAATATACTTTGATGTGTATGTACACTCAGATACAATGAATCTGAAAGTATATATATATATATAGATATATAACAAATTGTACTATTACATTTTCATTTATGGAAGTTACTTGAGGCAGACGCAATGAGTTTTTTAGTGCATATTGTATTATTTTTATGTGCAATTAATTTAAAGTATAGTGTAGGTGTACAAAATAAATTAGGATGTAGAGATCATAAAAATAAGATTGTTGATTGGTACGTATTATTTTTCATCTAATTAGATTTATTTGATTGTAAAAAGAATTTTGTTAATTTAATTAATAACATTAGGTATGTGCTGTATAAAATTCCAAAATTGGCACATAGCAGTAATCCATTAATAAGAAATGGTTCCGCTTATATGTATATATCTAATAATACCGTAGACAAAGGATGGGAATTGTCTACCAAAGATATAGGAGATCAAAATTCAATGCCTGGGAAAACCTTGGCTTCACTCTACAATGATGTAAATATTTTTTTAATGAGTTTTAATCATTAATTAATTAATTAATTTTTTTTTAAAATAATAATTATTATTATTTATAGAAAATAGCTAAAAATTTATTATGGATTTTATATAACGATGATCCACCAAACAGTTCGGTAGTTGGAAAATATGGTCATGCGAAAGGTGTAGTGGCCACTGATAAAGATCAAGGATTTTGGATGATACACAGTGTTCCAAATTTTCCACCAATGCCTAATTTAGGGACTAGTACAAAACGTAGAATTAGAACTACTACATTGTCTGTTGATGATTTTTCACCTGATTCTGAGTATAGTTATCCATCATCAGGACATGTTCGTGGACAGAGTTTTTTATGCATTTCTCTTAAATCAAATCAATTAAATACAGTTGGACGTCAATTAATGTACAATCAAATTATAGTTTATAGAAAAAATCTTCCAGCAAAATTAACTTATCAATATCCTGATCTTGCTAATGCTGCTAATCAGATTCGTTTTAAAAATCCTCCCTATAATAACAAAGAAATTATTAAGTCATCAAGTTCTGTCGAATTTATTTCATTTGCTAAATCTGACAAATGGCAACATGGTATATTTATATATTTAAATATTTATATTAATTGTTTCTTTGTTTATTATTCAATTCTTTCTCTTTATTTTATTTTTAGATCTTTACAGTGACTTTGTAGCTCCACAATTGAGAAGTAGTTTATTTGTTGAGACATATTTGAATGGACCAGGAAAATTACAATCCAAATGCCAGGGACTAGAGTAATATTATTTATGATTGTTTTTTTTTTTCTATTAATGATAGTTTGTCAGAGAATGATATATTTATTGAAATTTATTAACTTTTAGGGTGCATAATATTAGATCAGTGAAACTACAGACAGCAGATGTTCAGTTTACAAGTTCACAAGATCATTCTAAGTGGGTTGTTGCAATAGATAATAAAAATAATAAATCTTGGGTTTGCGTTGGAGACATCAATAGAGCCGTAATATATATACAAATTATAATATTATATATTTTTATTAATTAATTTAGTTAATATTATATATTATTAATTTTTTTTATAGGATACTCAGTATTATCGTGGTGGTGGTACAGTTTGTTTGAACTTGTTTCATCTTTGGAAAAATTACCGCGATTCTGTTAATGACGTTGAACCATGTCCTTTATATTAACAAAACTAAAACTTGATATTTTGGAAATATTGTTAAGTATATACAGTTTTTAAATCAAATGGCAATATTACTAACACTGTAAAATACTAATACGCAATATATATCAGAAAATATAAATATCGTCGATAAGGTTGTACTCTACCTTTCCAATCGTAATCTATACAGATATCATTTTTATGTTTAACGTTACCTACCGAGTTATATGATAAAGTAGATTTCTAACAAATTTAAAATTTTCATATTTTTATATAATATTACATTATAATTCATATGTTAGTTTGAGAAATTAGCTAGAATAGCTAATAAGATAATTAATTATCACATATATATATACATATATGTAAAATATTCATCATGTAAACAAAATTCATTACTGTTTCTGATAATTTCGTAGGATAATTAAAAACTATATTTTTCTTATTTGGTATTTGTCCAAAGAGGAAATGGATGGATTGGATGGATGCTCGTTATGCAAATTATATGAAACTCGAATGATGTACATTAGAGTATGTACGAGCTTTAAACCTTCCATCGTATTCGTCGTATTCGAAGTTACCGTGTATGTTCGCTTATTTCTACTACGAAATATGATGTGAAACGCTCTACGCTACTTTAATATTGCCTAATATGTATTCATGTCATACATTCAAGAGAACGTCCAGTATTATCCTTTCATTTATAAACGAAGTTATGTTACGTTTCTCTGGGAAAAAAAAAAGTGAAATGGATACAATGTTAAATTTTTTCCCTGGCTTCTAATTTTTCTTTTGTATAATTGTGTCGTATATGAAAAAAAAAAAAAAAAACAAACATTTCATTATCGGATGTTCGCATTTATTATTTGTGCACATTATTTACAACAGTGTGAACTATAAATCAATTAATGAATATACGCTATTATTATTATTATTATTATTATTATTATTATTATTATTATTATTATTATTATTATTATTATTATTATTATTATCTTTCTCACTATGTTAAAAGAAAATTTCGTTATTGGGATCTCTAGCACTTGAATACGCTATCTGTTGGCTAAATTGAAAATTAGAGTAGATAGGTTCGAATTGCTACGTCATGTGGTGGGATCTTTAGCAATTGAATACGCTATCTGGTGGCTAAATTGAAAATTAGAGTAGATAGGTTCGAATTTCTACGCCACGCCACGCCCCTGCCAGAGATCCCAATGCATATGATACCAAAACAAAAAAAATAAAGAAGAAAACAAAAGAGAAAAGAAAATAGAAAGCATTGTTTAAGATAGGTAAAATAAATGATCCACTAGTGTGCATTGCAAATAAGGGAAAGGATGCCTGGGTCTCTTGGTATAATTATCGTTACGTAACAAAAGTAAGTAAGAGAAAGAGAGAGAGAGAGAAAGAGAGAGTGTATTCAACCGTGACCGTACCGCAGAATAATTCAAGTAGGAAGTAAGAAGAGAGGATGCATTGGTAGGTGGCAAAAGGGTCGAAGAGGGTGAGAGAAAGCTGCAACACTTCTCTCAGACAAAGCCTAACGAAGCTTCTATTTAGCAACAGTAGGCACTGCGAAGCCCAACTTCACCCCCTATTGTACTCGCTTGTCGGCGTGTAGTGAATTTCATCCATCAACGGAATTCTAAACTGACAATAAGCAAATCTCTTATTTTCTTATTGTTTTTTTCATTTCTTTTTATATACGCATTCATATACATAATATGTATATATTGTAATATATATATATAATTCTTCTCATCGTTATATTTTTTTTATTTTTCATAAAAGATTACTTTAATATATGTAAATAGTAGGGGTGTTCCGCCACGCGTTGCTGTAACTCACAATCAGTCTGATACATACGTCTTTAAGTCATCTGTTAGATGATATAAACTATCCTATCTTTCAAGTTGGATGAAATTGTACACAGTGTGGAAAATTTGATTAAAATCGGTTCAGTAGTTTAGAAGTCCATTGCGGACAAACAACGTGTGTGGCACGTAATTTATATATATTAAGATATATTTATTTTATTTTAAAGGAATACACAAATTTTGTATCTTACTATAATTGGATATCACACACACACACACACACACAAAAGGAATTATAATATATTAATTATAATTTAAAGATTATAAGCTAAATGAATGATAAATAAGAGATAAAAAAAGAGAATACTCTTAGCATGTTTTTATTCATCCAAAGGCATTTGTAAGTATTCGATATGTGGAAACACAATGCGACATTATCTTGCATGCAATACTATACTGTCAATGATGAATACACAGGTATATGCACCACCGATGTTTATGTTAGAGTCGAGTGTATTCCTGAGTGTACGCGTAGAAGGAGATAGATATCCAATGTTCGGACATTGACATCATGACCATTATTTATTGCCCATGAGGCGTAACACAACGTGCCAAACATCCGTAACGGCTAGAGAATTCGAAAGACACTATGACGGAATACCCTGTAACATACAACAGGTCGTTTATGTCCCATTGATAGTAGAAAATAGGTATTTGATTGATAATCCTTTATGGGAGAACAATATTTTTATTCTTTTTTTTTTATTTTCTTCCTCTCTCTCTCTCTATTTCTTTTTGGATTTTTATTTGCTTTTTATTATTATTATTATTATTATTATTATTATTATTTACGTATAGAAAATTGTTCGCGTTGTGTGTGATAGATTGAAATTGAAAAGAAATATATCACCGATG